TATATATATATACATATATATTTAAATAATACATGCCATATGTATATACACCTACAGATAACTTGGGATTCCCACATGTATGTTGGACTAGCTAGACTGTCACCTGATGGCAGGCCAAACGTCGTGCTGGAGGGCTGCATGTCCGCGATGTGGCGCCGGGCTGCCCCACGGCAAAGCCCCGAGTGAAGAGACTGGCAAGTGCTAACAATTCGGAGGCTGCATATAATATAGTCGACTGTAATACAACGTAACGTAGTATTTAATATAACATATTTATTCAATATGTAGGCGGGTAGGGCTCCAACTTTCCAACCATTTAGGGCTCAGGGTCAAGCTGTGATAATGGATCAGCGATGTTATTTGCAGTTGCACAGGTAAGACTGGTTCCGATATTGCGGCTTCTACGAGGATTGCTGCCGCTGCCAGCACAACGTACGGTGAGAACTAGCAATAAGTCAAGGGGGCAGTGCGAGATACAACTACCCACGGGAACGGATTTAATGCCAGTACCGGGGAATGTGTGTGCAAGGAAAGGAAGACTCCGGATTAAGCGCTGGTTGAGTTTCATCTTTGGAAGCATCACTTGCAGCTGCTGAGGAGATACCTTTCTTGTGAGTGTTATCACTGCTTCACCAGCATCGTCATCATCATCATCATCGTCGTCGTCATCATCATGATCATCATGATCATCATCATCGTCATCGTCATTGTCATCATCATCATCATCTTCTGCTTCATCATCGTCCTGCTCTCCCACAGTGTTGGAGTTTCCTTGGCTGTTCCTACTCTCGTTAAGCCCATCCCACGCCCCTAGACCGAACAGGCCGAAACCCTGCCCCGAAGCGCAAATTATAGTAAACCCCAAACTCTAAACCCTAAATAAAGCCTAAAACCTTCAACCCTAAAACCCTAAAACCCTAAAGCCTACTTGATACTTGTAGGTAATCCCTGAGCGGGCCCCCGAGAAGCAGCGCCAGGTCTGTAGCAGGGTTTTGCTGTTGCTAAGTTTAGGGTTTAGGGTTTGAGAGTAGGAATTCGGAGTTTTTGAAACTATAACCAGAATAATCAGAATACGAAAGCACAAAACAGTATTCGAAAGCTCCACATTCACGACCTCATGGGTCGTTACGAAGCCTGCCAGAGACCCAAGAACGAGAAACATCCACAGGGCGGCTATGAGTTCAAGAGACTAGGCCTCCTGAGAGGAACTATGTATTCCCCGATGAAAGATTGACAAAGGCCTTCCTTCGTCAGGCCTAAACCCTAGGTGCCCAACGACTCAATGAGGGGCTGTCTATACCCATAGGCCCCATAGTAGTTCCTTTTGGGGGTTACCTAATAGGATTCTATATATGAACCCCAAAAAAGGAACTACTTTGGGGCCTATGGGTAAGGTGCCTCGGCGCTGGCGGCACCGTTGGGGGGCTGTGGCTTTTCTTCGGCCCTCTGGCCGACCCTGACGGACCAGTAGGTCGGCAGCCTGGCTTGAAGCAACAGCTACGGTTTAGGGTTTAGGGTTTAGGGTTTAGGGTTTAGGGTTTAGGGTTTAGGGAGCTACTGTAGGGGTTCTAAAATAAGTACCTATACTATTTTTGGGGGGTTCTTCAATATAAATAGAGTATAATGGGCCCCAAAACCCTATTCTAATTATTAAGGCTCCTACATTACGTGTTGAGGCTTATCATCAGTTTGATGACGAGTTTTAGTTACTGGGAGTTCATAATGGCGTTGCATCACGGGTTTTGTCGTAGGGTTCATGGCGGGGTGTGTTCCAGTTTTTTGAATAGGGTCGACTGTAGAGTTGCAGGGATATCGTGTGCAGGGTTTCTGATTTCGGGTTTTGCGCAGTTTGTCAGGAGCCGGGCCTGTGCACGAAACTGCTGTTCCTTTGTAGATATGTCGGGCATGGGGCAGATCGTGTCGCGACGAAGTGTGTGTCTGCTTGTATGTCCGTATGTATGCATGCACGTTTTCTGGTACGATATGCCCCATATGAGATTGTTTGGGAGTTGAACAAGTCCGCTTTGGGGTTTAGGGACAAGAGTTCGGGTCCTCATTTTCATTATTGTATAGGATACCCCAAAATCCTATTCCAATTCCTAAGGAAACTACACCCTGAACCCTTCTAGTAGCACTTATAGAAGCCTTTACAGGAGTCCCCAAACCCTATTCTAATTATTAAGGCCCTACATTCAATTTAAGGGATCTTAGAAGCCCGAAAGCATGAAGATGCATCCTCTTCACAGATTGGCAGGCTTCAGGGCTTTAGGCTCTGGAGGGGATTAGGGTTTGAGAGGGTTGGTTAGGGTTAGTTGGGGTTTAGTTGGGGTTTAGGGGTTAGGATTTAGTTAGGGTTTATAGGGTTCAGGGGTTTGGGTTTAGTTAGGGTTTCGGGTTTAGTCAGGGTTTAGGGTTTAGTTAGGGTTTAGGGTTTAGTTAGGGTTTAGGGCTTCTGATTGTGACAGGCCGAGGCCGCGATGCAGAAGTGCACTTAAGGACTTTACGCAGCGGCCCAAACCACCGCATCAGGATCTCACGAGTTAAACCCCAAACCCCAAACCCTAAACCCTAAACCCTAAACCCTAAACCCTAAACCCTAAACCCTAAACCCTAAACCCTAACCGAGTTGTTGCAAGACCCGAGAAGAGCCCGCATAGCCAGGATCCTCAGGTTTCAGTGCCTTCTTGGGCCTTAAACTCGAGACCCCAAACCCCAAGCCCTACAGCCCTACAGCCCAAACCCTAAGCCCTTAACCCTTAAACCCGAAACCCTGAAGTATTTAAAGCCCAAACCCTAAATGCGTAAATCTTAACCCTAAAGACTTCAAGCCCTTGAAACTTACAACCCTAAACCCTTAGAACAAAAGCTCATTTTTTTCTAATCCCAAAGGCCCCAGTAAGCTCGAGCCAAACCATAAACCATGAGGCCTTCCCGGGACGTCGATGCAGGGCTCCGCTACGTCCGCGATGAAGGAATGCCTTTGCATACGTTTGCCAAAAGAGCCCTAGTATAGGGGCCTTAATAACTACCTATACTATTTTGAGGGTTCCTTAAATTATATTTGAAGTTTAATGGGCCCCAAAACCCTAGCCTAACTATTAAACTCTAAACCCTAAACCCTAAACCCTGGTCTAGCTATTATAAGGCCCCTACGTTAGACCCAAGACCCGGTGGGGCTCCTAAACCCTTAACCCTCAAATAAAGACTTCCAGACGCGTGGGAGCGGCGGTAGTTGGTAGCCGTTGCTGTGTTAAGTAAGCTCCACTGCTAAAATTAACCCCCCAAGAATACGGTTTCTATAGCACCTTGGGGTCAGAATCTCTGTGGAAAGCCCAAGAGCCACAATCGTAAGCTTTAAGTCCTCGGCCCGAAACCAAGCACATCTTGAGTTCTAAACCCTAGACCCTAAACTCAAAATCCTAATCCTACACTCTAGCATGGGAGGCTGTGGCCGGCGCATGAGCCACGCGGGTGTCCGCCTCTTGGACGGTCGTTCCGTGGCTCGGCCAGGGGAAAGTCGTGGACTAGGCAAGCCTTTGGAACATTTTAACCCGAAGCCCTAAACTCTAAACCCTAAACAGCTTCCTTATTGGGCCTAAGACAGGGGCTTTTCAGGACCCAGTGGGGCTTTGGCTCATATCGGTTTCGGAAGAGTACTTTCTATGATCGTAGTGTAACAGGCTCCGAAGCCTTGTTTCAGATATTCAAGACCCCTGTATCATAGAATCTTGATATGAATGCTTTCAGAACCCCTTACATAAACATCAGCCCTTAAAGGGACCCCAGTCTATTTGTTCAGGCCCCTATATGAAACTCGTGACTTGGTCCCTATCTCCCAAGCCCCCGGGCCCTTTTAGTGGCCGCCATAGTAATGCCTCTACTGTAGGGGCCTGAATAAGTACCTACGTATATTATGTTGGGGGCTCCTTATTGTAATTATAGTATAATGGGCCCCAAAACCCTATTCAAATTATTAAGGCTCCTACATGAGTAAGTATCTCTCGTAGAACCTTTTGGAGGAACCCATTGAAGCAGCCTGTATAGTGGCATGGTCTCACTTCATGGGTAATTCTCCGAATTCGGGTCCCTTTTCGGGTCCCCAAAGTAGTAGGGCAGCCTTCTGAAAAGGACACTAAAAGGGACCAGGTTTAGAGAGTTATCTGGGAGTTTCAGAAAGCAGGGGACCCTAGTATAGGACCCTAAATAGTAGGATCCTTATTATAAAGACCCCCAAATAAGGTACCCTAATTTTCGGAAGCTCCCATCTTCATGGTGAGGCCATGACATCCGAGAAGTTCAGCCTGGCGAAGCAGGCGCACTGGAAAGGTTTAGGACTTTGGGATTCAGGGTTTTAGGGGGCTTAGTGGGTTTAGGGGTTTAGGGTTTAGGGATCATGGGCTGAGTGACTTTAGAGTCAGAGGTTAAGGGACTCAGGGTTGGGGGCTGTTACTACTACTACTACTACTACTACTACTACTAGTACTAGTACTACTACTCCTACTCCTACT